CAAACAGTACCTAGGCAGGTGAAAAATAATTTCTAGTTTTCACAATAATTACTTTATTATAAGTCACATGACCCGGCAAATTACCCTGTGTTCATTTAATCAGCAGATAAAACAATTAAATACTGAGTAATGAGAGCAGCTCAGACCCACGTACATGGAACCACGACATTACTTAAAAGTTTCAACGAACAAGTTTTGCTGAATCAGCACTATTAATTATTCTGCAGTGACGTGTTTAGAATTACATTGTGTTCATTGGATTGCAATTTCTTTTGAGATCCCTAATCAAAGGCAATTATAACAACAGTGCGCATGTATACTTCTATTCAGCCAACAACACAAAATAGCATAGTATCAATAAAAGACTGTTACATAACCCTGCTGCACAACAGGTGATTGTTAAAACAAGCCCAAATAAAATAATACTTTGAGCATGCAGGTAAAAAAAGGTCTTCTTTTAGTTTCATGGTTTGAGTAAGATCTACACACCTCCCCAGTTTTGTTTGTACTTCACTGATTTGTTGGCATGGCAACTGCAACAGCTGACAAGATTGTGTACATGAAACTTGCACGTATCGCATTTTTTGTCTACGTGCATATTACACGCTACCTTATTTCGCTAATGGGGTTTGTTCTAAATGCGGAGATAAAGATAAATTTAAAGTTCGGTACAAAGACTACTTCGTCGATGCAACGAGCCACACATTACAGAATCTGTAGTTGCAAGAAATTTGCGCTCAACAGCAAGCACCAACTCGTAACATCACAATAAAACAGAAATACTTTCCCCAGAAAAGTTAGTTTGAACACGTTTTTGTGTGAATAAACATTCTAAACAAATTATCTGTGATTCCGCTTGCGTTAATGGATGTCTACTGATACGAATAGCTCAGATAAGCAATGAGTCGTTGTTGGTTCAAAGTTCAATAATAGCGATAAATGATGCTGATTGTTCAAGTAGAGATTTATGTATAACCGTATCACTTGAAATGCATTAGGCACCGTACCCTCTTCTCAGTAACTGTAATAGTTCAGTAAAAACATCAGAAAGTGAAACAACAGCGCCTGGATCATTTCTTTGGGTAACATTTACGAACATTTTGCACGGACTGAAACTGAAACAATCTTGACAAAAGCCGACTCTCACATTTTCTTCATGGACACGTATTATTTATTTATTTATTTTACTAACGTAATAATTAACAAAAATGTTCGTTAACAATGATTTTTTATTACTATTTACAATATAGAATTGTAATACACGTTTATTAATTAAATGTAATGTACATGTATCAATAAAACATAAAATCAACGTACCATCCATTGTCCTTCATTTCATGTTAATTTTACGTTCGGATAAACGATCAATTAACCGAACAAACACGTCACTGCCCACTGTGTTCGGATAATCGAGGTTTGACTGTATCAGCCAAATAGAACAATGCATTTACTTAAAGTGTGTAAATCCAATGTACGAGTATGAATCAAAATTGTTTCATTTCCCAGCTAGAAATGTTCATAATTTCATAATATTGAAGGGCAAATTTTTTTACGAAAGTAACCATAGTTCCGATTAAGCTTACCTTTTGAATTACGAACCTCAGTTTAAATGATACAAGGAATTGCAATATTACTGTTTCCATAGTAACAAGTCCAGGTGCATTTATTTCATGCTACTTTTCATGATCACTCAGTGAAATATCAAGAACTTCTATTTTAGCTTTTGAAATTTTTGATTCTTTTGTTGTTTAGCTGGGTGAGAAATGTTCATATTTCGCAGATTTTTCTAACTTTCAAAGTTTATGAAAAAGCGTTCTTGTTAAAGTGTTGAACAGTATTACTTATGAAGTTTGTCTTTTTATTTTCCAATCATTTTTAATGTAGTCAGTATATTTGTTCAAATGCATATGCATATGAATGAAGTTATTATTGGACAGTTAATTACAATTAAATTAATGTAGGCAGTAATATTATTATGATATCAATAGCGAAAGATATGTTTGGCTCTGGAACGAGAATATTTAATTTTATTTTGAAGAGCTATTTTCAATTATTTGAAGAAAAACTTAGCAACAATTATTTGTTTCAACATTTTTAATACATGTATATCGCTAAGAAAAATAGATGTTGTAAATATTTGTAAATTTGTTGAAATCAGCTCAGCTGACGATAAACAGTTATCATTGTATTAAATTTCAACCACCTGGTGCCGGCCACCTCAGTATGCCGGCCGGTTATATTAGCTGTGGAATCATAGCCCCCTCCAGGGCCGTTTTTGGTCGTCGGTATCTGGCTGGCCCGATATTCGACTGTCAACACAAAACAAACAGAAAAGACGTCCAAATGAAATTTAAAAGGCAGAAATCAGTCGGTTGACAGACGCAATAGAAGGCTACGAAACCGCAGCTACAATTATTACAGTACGAATGTGTTCGGGTGTGTGAAAACAACTTGTTTACATCCTTGCATTCAGTTCACGCGATGGTTGAAACATGGAGCTAAAATCTTTTTTTAGCTCCGTGGTTGAAACGAAAACAAATTATTTTTGACGTCGGGTAATTTAGTTTTTGAGTGGAAACAAAAAACGGGGATCATAGATAGACCACAGATCATGCCGTGTCTAGTCTTGATTGTCGGAAGCAAAGTTTATGGACTGTACCCGGCATTTACCGTAGTAATTAAACTGATCAAGCTTTGACGAATTAAAATACAAAGTGTTCAACTAGAAACAAATCTTGTTCATTAGTACAGAACAAAAGAAAACTGCAGTGCTTTGTTCGGCGTAATGAAAAAAGCGCCGATCGGCTGCCGATCAGCTGTGACCGGTTTTGACAGCTCAGGGAAAAACGTGTGTGGAAATTTAACACATCCTGAACGTGGAGGCCCGCTGTGTTAATCAATTTTTATAACGTCATATTTTATTCACACCACGAGTCACGCCAGAAACTCAAATGTGAGTGGGAGTTCATGTGATGATACTATATTGCGAAATCTAGAAGATGGCGCCCAGCTGATCGACCGGCGTTTCCATGATGCCGCTATAAATAAAATAAAATACACAGAATTAAATGCGATCGTCTGCTTGACGATTATTACTTACAGACTGTAAATGCGTCAGCACCATACTTCTTCAAATCGGGATCTTGTAACATTTCCACGAGTAACACACCAAACGAATTCATTATTCCAAACAGGGTACCATTAGTCCAGAAAGAAGCAACGCATACTACCCATCCCCATCCGCCTTCGGGCGGCTCGAACGACGGTCGGAGACCGGCCGGCTTTTTCTCTTCATCGCCTTTGAGTTTCTCCATTTTCTGACCGTCACTATTTACAGACGCGACAGATGAACAAGTTCTCTCTACTCATGTCAAGAAATCCGTTACCAGCACCTCTGATCGAGAGTATTATTTCGCCAGTGCTCTGACAGCGGGACTGTGCCGTCAGTGATGTCAGACAAAAGGCAAACCCTTCATTAACATAACAACGGCGGCGCAGCTGTGCGAGGGAGACCCACTGCTGATGCAATCACGTCACTGTTGGCGCCAAATCCAAATTGCGGAAAATCTACAAATTTATAACAGCGAATTTGCTACACGAAAACCGACAGAATCGCAAACGCAATAATTAACGTTTTAGCAAAGTCGTGTTCGTCCTGGCTTAGGCTTCTCGAATATGTACATCAATCGGTTATTATGAGACCGGTTAGTTATAATAACACTCGCTTCCCACGGTTGACAAACATAATATTTGCTATCTTTTTTTGTGATTTTTGTTCTCAGTAATTTGTACAAATTAACAGTACGATTATGGAAGAACAATGAGTGTTGTTGACTCCAGGATTAAAGAAATTAACAGCGAGCTTAGGGCGTCTTTCATTTGCCACAAAGAGAACGTGTCCACAATGCGTATGACGTAGACGCGCAAAGCATTGTCGTAGACATACAGAGCATTATTATTGCCCGTGGTAAAGTGAAACGGAGTTATGGATACCGAGTTACGAAAACATCGAGTTACAAAAATGACAACGCTCATATTTCAGAAACCATGTTTACTTTTTGCGAAACCACGTTCAAATTGTAACTCAATGTCCAATTACCAGTTGACCGAACTTCGAGTTACGGGCAACATATCATTTGTGTTTCGTTTAACGTTTTATATTTCCCGTTATTCGAAGTTCGGTTAACTGATAACGTAAATTAGAGTTACTAAATTTGTTGTAAGCATGTAGACCCACAAAACACGTCGACAGCTACGCGATTATACATACCATTGGCGGCGGCACGAAATTGTGCACGGCGGGCGAGATCTGCTCACAATCCCTTAGTAGGCGGGTCCGAGGGATACTCCCACAGAGAAATCAAGACCATGGGACAATTGTGTGACACAAAGGGTTCCAGCTTGATTGGGGGGCGACGGTGCGGCAATTGCCGATGCCACAATAGTTCCAACTTATATTTCATGAAGCTAAGAACAGATTATTAGCAGCTCCATGATGAGGGCTCAGTTTGAACTCAGACTAGTCTGAGGTTTGAATATACTAGTACGCTGTATCTAGAGGTCCTCTGGCACCACGTGACAAAGCTGCGACCTGATTAGGGCAGAATAGAGGGGATGATGCAATCCCTGAAATGCAAGCGTGACCCACTTCATTGTGCAAGTTTGAAACTTTAACTGTAGGGCGCATTACCGGGTGCAATTCAATCTGTCTTTTACCTCACTTGACAGTAATACATAAAGAAACTTGCGATTCACTCAGGAATCTAAAGGACACGTGGCTGCCTCGACTGACCTGTCGGATTGTACAGGCCGGCGCAATTCGATGAAACTGTCGGGGGTTCAGAATTTTAAACACCGAGGGTTGATTTTGACTAAAAAAATAAGGTCACAAACCCGGGGGTACTCACATTGAAGTGTTATATGTATACTAGTGTGTGCCGCCAAATTCCCAAATTCACCACTTCTGTCTGAAAAGGGGTATGTTATTTTACCCAGTCCCTGTCTGCCTGAAAAGCGGTATCCTTTTTTCATTATTTCTGCCTGAAAAGGTGTCCATATTTTCCTAAGACTGTCTCTAGAGCTTGAGTGATCCAACAATCAGGAGAATAAAACTGATTTTTTTCTTTCTGTAAAGTCCACCTGCTTTTCCCATGGTACCATTTATGCTTACCGTCTGGAAAGAGGTATCAATTATCCATAGTTTGTCTGAAAAGGTATAGGCAATTTGAGTTTATTTCTGTCTGATACTGGGGTATGGGGTTTCAAACAATCAGCTACACACCCTTGTCAATATTTTTGCAAGTACCCCCTCCCGGGTTCGCAAACCACAAAGATTGTCTAAATGTATACATTGATACAAACAAACTTCAACACGAATGTTACAAAACCACACTCACGTTATCACTACCGATTTGTATCAGATTATTGAAACAAACAAACAAACATACTATTTCAAGGTCAAAGATACCAGGCACTATAATTATCCAATTATATTCTCATTACCTTCAATGACGGTATCATCACGACCTAAACTGAGCGAGATATGAGGGTAGTACTTGAGCGGCATGTGCTCTGATAGGCCCTGATAGTCAAGACCACTCGGGCGACAATAGACTGGCAAAGTCGGGATTTATTTTTTGTTTTACAAAATAAATATAATTAATTGTCTACTTGTGATCGCGAAAACTACTAGTAGCGTGACCGCGAAAGAAATGCTTTTCGAAAATTCGAGAAAACAACAGGAACTCAACTTTGAAGTAATCCTGAACAATCAAATTTATATGCGTTACACATGTAGGGGTAATCTTGTTACACTGTTCAGGGGAGTCTCAACAACCATCCCAAAGTACCGTTTTCTGAGAGTTGTCGGCCTTTGTTTTCACCGTGATGGTTGCCATGCGATGAAAATGCCCAGATGTCCGCCCCATGAATATATGCCGACGTTACGTTATCAGACAACGTCGCTCAAGCGTTTACCCTTATCCCCACCCGGGACAACTCAGTGGATTAATTAAGTAATAATATTATTATTACAATGCGCAATATACCTTTTGTATAAATTGCG